AATGAGGCAATCGATGATCAATCGGAGAATGCAATTGAATCAGAAGACTTAAAGGAAAAAGTCCCAGAGGATGATGGTCAAGAGTCAAATGTTCAATCAGACCAATCAAAATCAGCGAAACGTCAAATTGGCAATTCTGTAGAAGAAAGTAAGGACATAAAGACATTTGTTTTGTAATTGGAAATCAAGTGTACATGTGCGGGCTGTAAGTTACTCGGATCATATTTTGCCGTCATATGTTAGGCATGTCAGTACTGTACGTTTTTCACTCATAAAATAGCCATATGGGAAGTCATTACAGTGTTACGGCATGTCTTACGGTGTACATGCTGCAAGTCAGTACCGTACGTTTCTCACTCATACAAAAACCATTCTTATGGGAAGCCATTTAAATGCTACTTCATGTCGAACCGTGTATGTGCTGCAAGTCAGTACCGTACATTTCCCACTCATACGATAAACATTCTGATGGGAAGCCATTTCAATGTCTTAGAATGTCGTACGGTGTTACTTAAGTCAGTGCCGTACGTTTTCCACTCATACGATAACCATTCCTACAGGAAGCCCTTTCAATGTAATGGTATGTTGTATAGTGTACGTGCTGTAAGTCAGTATCGTATCTTTTCCATTTGCTCTAACGATAATTATTATGTTCAATTAATTTTTGCAGAGCATCGCTGTTCTCTTCCTCTCGGGATGGAAGATGGCCGTATCCCTGATAGTGCTATCACAGCTTCTTCAGAAGCGGCTGTTGGTACTCGTGCTTCTCGCAGTCGATTGAATACTGTGTCAATAGGTGCATCAGGCTACGGAGCGTGGGTGGCTACCAAGAACGATAACAAGCAATGGCTTCAGGTACACGTGTCCTCTTTCTCACTTAATAATGACGGTTTACCGCTGTTCTTGATGACCACGGACTCAATGTAGTCTCATTTATTAGTCAGCTATTCATAGATACCATAAAAAGTTGCACCTTGAGCTTTCATTGATCTAAATTATTCAAGTTGCAAATTCTTTAAATTACAGTTGACCTTTATGAATGCTTTGCTGTTAAACGAAGCAAAACCCATCCAATGAGTCTGTAGTCAAGGCAGTAATTTTGGCATCAATAATTATTAGAACTGAAGATGGCCAATATGGCCGAAAAACTTTGCAATATAATATGATTATAAACGTAATGGATACGAAATATCGAATCAAATGCATCCTAACGTACAAGAATACACTTGAATCATTAGAATCATGGATTCAGAGAGAAAAGAGGGAACGGGTTAAGAGGGAGGTCAGTTTTCTATATATATATATATTTTTTWAAAATAACGTTTCATCTATCTGTGATTTTTCAAATAAAGATCGATTTAGGGGATTTGGCTGAAGTAACAAGGGTTGCCACCCAAGGAAGACAAGATGCAGACCAGTGGACGAAACTCTATTCACTAAGTTATAGTGTTGATAATGTTCACTGGGTGGAATACAAAGCAAACAGTTACAAAAAAGTGAGTAGCAACAACATTGCTAAGGGCATCCTTTAGGCAAAATAGGCTTTAGGTGGACGTCAATCGAATTACATTGTTTCTATGGCAATGTCGGAAAATACCAAAATATGTGCCCATGGAATGTCATGGAAACGCCTTGATTGACGACCACCAGGGGCGGATCCAGGGGGGTGCAAAGGGGAGCTGTATCCGCAATTCAGGAAGCTGGTTAAATTTCATGAAGTGAAATAGAAAGTATTTTTTCCAAGTTCTATAGTGTCATTCGTCAAAATTCGGACAAGCCCCCCTTATAATTTTGGTTGGATCCGCCTCTGGATTCTATAGAGAATGACAATAAATTATGGGTCATTGTACTCAAATTGGACGTAATGTTTGAATTTTCAAGCACTTTTGGAATAAGTGTCGTGTTTCAATTGCATGCATTTTATATAATTTCTCAAATGATACCGTAAATTTTCTTCTTCTAAAGGGATGAAACCCCATTGCTAGGTATATGTAAACGGAAAAAAGTAAGCCAAAAGTAATATGGTCCATTAACTCACTTGCTTCTCCTTAAATTGAGATTACTTTGAAGGACGATTCACATTATTTCTTARTAGCTCTTATTAACCGAGTACGAGGTCCGTCCTGTCAGTTATAGACCACAAATTGACCAATTATAGGGCATGAATAACATTTCTGTATAAGAAAAGTCATCATATTGACATGTGTGTTGTTCGATGGTGTGGTTCAATTAGTAATGATAATCTCTTGTTTTCTGTAGATATTTTCTGCCAACACAGATCGTAACACCATCGTTAGTCATAACCTAACGCCATCAATCAAGGCTCGTTTCATCAAATTCCACGTCACTTCAGCACAGAACCGACCAGCGTTACGCGTGGAGTTGTACGGATGCAGAAAAGRTAATCTTACTTCTTGGGTTTAAAAATAGTATTCTAGTGTTCTTGTGTTCCACTCTACCTAGGGTCACTTGTCCTAGTCGTAAATAAGCGCGCTGGATTTATTATATTCACTTGTGTAAAAATACTAAAACAAGTTAATTGTTGCCTATTAGTTCATAGCTGTGCAATACCTGTCGGGATAGAAGATGGAAGAATCCCAGACAGTGCCATGACCGCATCGTCCATAAATAGTGCAGCAACAAAGGCAGATCGTGGGCGCCTAAACCTCAATTCGCACGGCTGGATTTCCAGACATAACAACCCTAACCAATACCTGCGCATTGACCTGGGCAAGGAGACCAGTGTGACCAAAGTTGCCACTCAAGGAAGGTTTAATGTCGGTCAATGGGTTACCAGTTACTATTTACGCTACAGTCTTGATGGTACTCATTGGGTGACTTACAAGCAGAATAGTGTTGATAAGGTATTTTTCTTATGGAAGCAAAATCCTCGTGGTCTTGATTCAGTAACTAAGGCTGCGTTCATAATGTATAGCAGAGGAAGGGGCAGGTGAAATCTTTAAATGACAAAAAAATTCTTAAAAACCCCCCTTGAAGTCTCCCAAAAAAGGTACAAGGCAAATGCTGAGATATCTCGAAATTTATAAACTGCTGAATAAGTTGCGCAAAGAATTCTAACGTCGTGTGCATGGTGGCGTATTGTTACTATTACTTTTATTAACCATTCCTGACGAACGTTTACAGCTAGAAACCAAAACTTTTAAAAAAAAACTTTACAAAATTTCATGGTCATAGATCAATTTTAAACCAGATTTTCTACTCATAAGCAAAGGTCAAAATGTTGGGTCAAAATGTTGGGTCAAAATGTTGGGTCAAATGTTGGGTCAAATGTTGGGACAGTTTTTCAGGATCTTTTACCGACAGGAGATGCTTTTTTTTTTCTTTCTTTTTTTTTCATTTTTCATCTTTCACCATTTTAGATATTCTCTGGTAATGCCGACCAAAATACTATCGTGTCTCATGTGTTAAACCCTCGTATCGAAGCTCGTTTTATTGAATTCAAGCCTCGTACATGGAAAGGACACATTGTAATGCGGGTAGAGGTCTATGGATGTAATTCAAGTAGGTCAAATGTCTCTTTTCTATTGCTTTTGTAATAAATCAATGTCATATCATACTCTTCCCAATAACACGAGCGAATAGATCTATTTACCTCGGACGTAATGTTTAATTTTCTTATTTCAGACCACCTGTTATTCCCTAGAGTATCATTTCTTTGTTTAACGGTTGAGCATGGAAGACACATGAATATGGATACAACTAAAACAAAGAATATTATTCTCAAGAGAATGACACGTGG